AGAACTAGAACAAAAAATTTCACAATTTGTATGGAAACACAAAAGATCCCGAATTGCCAAAGCAATCTTGAGAAAGAAAAATGGAGCTGGAGGAATCAGGCTCCCTGACTTCAGATTATACTACAAAGCTACAGTAATCAAGACAGTATGGTACTGGCACAAAAACAGAAAGATCAATGGAACGGACAGAAAGCCCAGAGATAAACCCACACACATATGGTCACGTTATTTTTGATAAAGGAGGCAAGAATATACAATGGAGAAAAGACACCCTCTTCATGGTGCTGGGAAACTGGACAGCTACATGTAAAAGAATGAAATTAGAACACTCCCTAACACCATACACAAAAATAAACTCAAAATGGATTAAAGACCTAAATGTAAGGCCAGACACTATAAAACTCTTAGAGGAAACATAGGCAGAACACTCTATGACATAAGTCACAGCAATATCCTATTTGACTCACCTCCTAGAGAAATGGAAAAAAAAATAAACAAATGGGACCTAATGAAACTTCAAAGCTTTTGCACAGCAAAGGAAACCATAAACAAGACCAAAAGACAACCCTCAGAATGGGAGAAAATATTTGCAAATGAAGCACCTGACAAAGGACTAATCTCCAAAATTTACAAGCAGCTCATGCAGCTCAATATCAAAAAAACAAACAACCCAATCTAAAAATGGGCAGAAGACCTAAACAGACATTTCTCCAAAGAAGATATACAGACAGCCAACAAACACATGAAAGAATGCTCAACATCATTAATCGTTAGCGAAATGCAAATCAAAACTACAATGAGGTATCACCTCATACCAGTCAGAATGGCCATCATCAAAAAATCTACAAACAATAAATTCTGGAGAGGGTGTGGAGAAAAGGGAACCCTCTTGCACTGTTGGTGGGAATGTAATTTGATACATCTACTACGGAGAACAGTAGGGAGCTTCCTTAAACATCTAAAAATAGAACTACCATACGACCCAGCAATCCCACTACTGGGCATTTACCCTGAGAAAACCATAATTCAAAAAGTCGTGTACCACCATGTTCACTGAAGCTCTATTTATAATAGCCAGGACATGGAAGTAACCTAAGTGTCCATCGACAGATGAATGGATAAAGAAGATGTGGTACGTATACAGAATGGAATATTACTCCGCCCTAAAAAGAAACGAAATTGAGTTACTTGTAGTGAGGTGGATGGACCTAGAGTGTGTCATACAGAGTAAAGTAAGTGAGAAAGAGAAAAACAAATACTGTATGCTAACACACATATATGGAATATAAAAAAAAAAGGTTATTGAGAACCTAGGGGCAGGACAGGAATAATGATGCAGATGTAGAGAATGGACTTGAGGACACGGGGAGCGGGAAGGGGAAGCTGGGACAAAGTGAGAGAGTGGCATGGACTTATATATACTACCAAATGTAAAATAGATAGCTAGTGGGAAGCAGGTGCATAGCACAGGGAGATCAGCTCGGTGCTTTGTGACCACCTAGAGGGGTGGGATAGGTAGGGTGGGAGGAAGACGCAAGAGGGAGGAGATATGGGGATATATGTGTATGTATAACTGATTCACTTTGTTATAAAGCAGAAACTAACACAACATTGCAAAGCAATTATACTTCAATAAAGATATTAAAAAAAAAAAATGCCAGCCTTGGAGGAACTAAAGCCTGAGATATTCCTCTTGATAATTAGCCCCTAAATAACTGCATTAGGTGTTTTCAGGAAGACTAAAAATGCCACAATTCGTTCTTTGTTATAAATTAAATTTTGTTTTAGATGGACTGAATCTTAAATCTCATTAATTATTTGAAGTGATTTAAATTATTGCTATTATTTTACTGTGATTTTGCACTGCTTAAAAAGTATGTCTGAGTTTTGCATTTTATCCCAAGCCAATGTTCTGAACCTAGAATACTAAGTCAAGGACTATTGTGCTAATACTCGCCTCTAATGAAAATATATACAGGACATAAAAATAGTGAAGCATCTTTGTTATGGAGTGGAGGCTAGCACACCATTGTAAAGCAATTATACTCCAATAAAAAAAATGAGAAATAAAAAAGAAGGAAGAAATCATGGATACATGTAAAAAAAGAAAATAAGATTACAGAATAAGATCAAACACACCAGTTTTGATAACCAATATTTAGCTATATAGATAAAAGTTTAACTTTTTAAATAAAATAGAAAAACAATGAGAAAATGATTTTAAAAACACAATCTGGGGACTCCCCTGGTTGCTAAGTGGTTAAGAATCCACCTGCCAATGCAGGGGACAAAAAAAAAAAAAGAAAGAAAGAAAGAAAGAAAAATAGTGAAGCATTATGTTGCTTTGTTCTGGGGCTTTACAGCAGGTGGACTTTGGGACAGCAGGAGGATTAGGGAAAGGCTCAGAAAGAATCACATGACAAGGATTTACAGCCCCGTCTCTACGTGTAACTTGCTTCTCCACCCGTCTTTTAACTCTAGATCACACAACCAGCAATCAAAGCCCCGCAGAAGATGGCCTCTGGAGGAGAACAGAGCCTCCACACCTGAAGCCCAGCAAAGTGCTTCTACCCTTCACCAGGTGACAAAGTCACTCCCAGGCCAGGAGAAGGAAGCATAGCTGAGTACTGGGGCCCTGCCCTGGAGTAGGTAGAGCCAGAAAGGTGAGGGGCCCCTGACCCCATCCCCCCAACAGCTTTCCTTCTCAGGGTCACGGAAGCCAGAAGATCTCCACCAATTTCTACTTTATTTCTCTGGTCTAAACCACAGCCTTCTTTAGCCTGTCTTTTTTATGAAATTGTTCCAGGAGGAACAGAACACTGAGACATCAACACTTTGGTGGGAATTCATGAGCAAATCCAGAAAGGCTGCCTGTGAGAGGAAAGCTAAGAAGAAACTGTAATTGCTTTACAAGTTTTGCCTATTTGTCCCATCTGAGCTCAGCTCCGTATCTGTCAACGGTGATCGCGACCCTCTTAATTTCCACGGGCCCCCATACCCCCTTGGAGCTGATCTTTCTGTGGGCAGGTAAGTGCTGTACCATGGAGCTCTGTCTTGAAGCAAAAGCAGCAGCTACCACTTGGATGGTGAGTACATTTCACACTTTGTAGATGCTCAATGCTTTAGAATCACTTTGATAGGAAAAATCCACCTTCTGGGTTGCTGGGCTTCTAACTCTCCCTACTCGGTGTAGTGACCTCCTTGTCCACCAGATGGCAGGAGCTCCTCATGTCTACAACTGTGGTTCTCAAAGTGTGGTCCTGTACTGGCTTCCAGGGAAACTAATCAGAAATGCAAATTTTCAAGTCCCACCCCAGATCTACGGAATCAGAAAGTCTGAGGGTGGGGCACAGGCATCTGTGTTTTAACAGGTCCCCTCCAGGTGATTCTGATGCAAGTTGAAATCTGGTCCATATCAGGTCATCAATAAAGCTGTTCTCTTGAAAAGAAAAATATATACTGTGCCTTACACACAATAAGTTCTCGAACACTTGATGAGTTAATAAAGGGGGACATAAAAGACTGAAGGAGACTGATCTGAAGAGGAAAGCTTCATTTGCTACCAGGGACTGCTTGCTCAAGGGGCAAGGGTATGAAGCCACATCTCTTTCCCCTTTGCCACGCACAAAAGATTGCTGGAGTCTCCCCAACCCTGCAATCCCTTAACCAGTAAATGAAACCAATCTTGGAGGTATGGGGTGTGGGGAGAGCGCCTGCCATTAACACTAAAAATTCTTTCCGATGATAACTTATCTGGCATTTGCCTTAAATAACCCTGGGAAGGATGGATGTGGCAAGATGGGCCACGGGCTGACAATTGTTGAACCTGAATATTCATTACAAATCTCTCTACTTGTGCACGTTTGTAATTTTCCGTAAAGAAGTTTTATGAAACTAGAAAAAAATTAACAAAAAGCCTTTCAAACAGTAGCATTTTAAGAATCAAAATATGCTAGAATGCTTCTTAGCCATTGAAAAGAGTGAATTTTAATTATTGCAGTCAGATGGGAAGAAGAAATCAGAGAAGTCCATATCAGCAACACTTAATCGTCTTCTAAAAAGCTAAAGTGGGGCTTCCCTGGTGGTGCAGTGGTTGAGAGTCTGCCTGCCGATGCAGGGGACACGGGTTTGTGCCCCGGTCCGGGAAGATCCCACATGCCACGGAGCGGCTGGGCCCGTGAGCCATGGCCGCTGAGCCTGCACGTCCGGAGCCTGTGCTCCGCAGCGGGAGAGGCCACAGCCATGAGAGGCCCAGGTACCGCAAAAAAAAAAAAAAAACAAACAAACAAGCTAAAGTGAACAGAAAGGTGATCAATGAAGAAAGAAGCAGGTCAGAAATTTCAAATAGGGTCAGAAAATTAGAAACAAGGATCAAGGTTTGAAGAAAATGTGACTAATTTCATTCAATGTGATTAAGGTATCACAACAGATACCTTATATGGAACCACAAATGGCAGAGTTAGACTTGTAAGAACCCACTAACTATATGGAGACAGCAAAGAGGGGGAAAGAATAAATTTCTGAATCCCTGGTGTTCAAATAAGAACAGAAGTAGCTAGCCAGGATTAAGATGTAGATGCAAATGCAAAATAAAGAAAAGCATCCATTAAAGGGGGTAAAAAGAACTAATTCATCTACACTGAATAAACTAAAAGAGGGAAGGAAATGGGAATCATCAAATATTCAGGAGGCATTAAAGAAGTAATGATCCATCTCTTGAAAGGAAAAAGCAAAGCAAACATTCCATCTGACGCTCTTTAATATCACTGAGTGGGTCTCAACCATCGCATAATGTAGCATGTTTGCTGACCTCTGCCTTTTTCCTTTGTCATCAGTTATAGGTGCTTTTTTTCCATGGAAGACAGAGGATCAATGTGTAAAGTGATCCGCAATAGCACTTATATCAAGTTTGGTAGTATTAAAGTATATTACATTCTGCAAAGCTTAAATTTTTAAATAATTCAGCAATCCACTGACTTACTAGAATGACAATTACATACCTTCAATTTTATTTACTGAAAGATCCAACTTCTGCAGGTGAATGTATCCACAGAGGATGCTAATGTCAATTAAATCAAGACCCTGAGAAAATAAAAGGTAAAAGATTTAATGTTGCTTTAACAGATGAGTACTCAGGCTTCTCAAGACATCTGGAAATAGAGGTTGACAGAAAGAAAGCCAGAATTTCCTTTGAAAGTACAGTAGAAGTGAGGGAATAAAATCTGAGGCCTACTACCAATAGGGTCTCAAAACAGACTACAAACCCCATCCAAAAATGCATTCTTCTGAAGGAAATAATAGCTTGGAAAATTAGTGTTGTTAGCAAGAACATACACAACATGAAAAGGCAAATTAAAGCAGTGTTCATGAAGACCTTTAGAGCAGAGTTTTATATTTAAAAAAACCCACACATAAAAGCAATAAAGCCAAAGCCTTTATCTAGTAGAAGAAAAGAAAAAGCAAATGTCTAGAATTCAAATGAAATGTTAGAAGAGTTCACACCTAATCGAGTGATCATTAATAACAATACTTCTTAGGCTTCCTCAGGCTTCAAAGCTCTCTCCCAATAATCTCATCTGATCAAACAAACCTGTGAGATCCGTAGGGCAGATTATCCCCAGTGTAGGGATGAGGAATGTGAGGTACAAAGAGGTAGGTAAATAGCCTAAAATCACTTAGCAAGTTAGCAACACAAAAGCAGCTCCAAGTCTCCTGAATCTTTGTCCGAGATCCCTTCCATGAAATCTTGCATCTAGTGAACATCACGAGGGGTTGGAGGGGAATTTGGTCCCTTGGAACAAAGACTCATGTCACTGGTTTACGTTGTGATGTCAGAGTCAGAAAAAGCCAACCAAAGTGTCATGATAAGCAAGTTCTCAAATATAAGAATGATAATAAAGGCCTCTAGAACAATAATAAGTAAATTACTGATGACCTACTACATACAAGGCATTAAGCTTGGCATGATGAGAAACACGTACAGAGTTGGGCTAGAGCTATATTTTGCCTTTAAGAAACTTACGACTTTGGGTAGGAGAGAAACTGTGTACACAAGTAATTAGAGAAAGTTAGAAAATTATGTGCAACATAAGTTAAGACATAAGGCGGGAAAAATCACTAACCTGGCCAACCCTAAGAAAGTGTATTCAGTAAGACAGGCTATTAGGGCAAAGTAATTCAACACGTAATATCTCAAATGTAAGGAGGTCAGTGGCAAAGTAAGAAGCTTCAGTCCATCTAGCTGAAATAAGATTTAAAGGATTGTGCTTTCTTGTAGATCAATTTAAGGCGTAGCACTACGTACATACGTAGAGTATTGATTGAAAAGGACTTGTGTACAGATGTACCGCTACTGGAATTATCTTCCATTCCAAAGTCTGACATAGTGCAATGCACACAGGGTCCCTGTACATTACTGCCTGACTGGCTGAGTCATCCATAAAATGCTGTAAAGTGAAAACAGTAAAAGATTGGAGCCTTCGTATGCTGTTCTCAAAGGACATGCCATGAAACCAGCATGGGTAAAAAGGGCTTAACATTTGTTGGACAGTTTACTAGTTCAAATCCAAGATAAAACAGCCTTGCTATGAATTGTATATGCTTGAGGCAAATTAGGGTGCTGTAGCAAAATTTCAGTGTGTTTTTTTCACCTACATATCTGCATTTACTCTGTGGACCTTCACGGAGCAGTTAATGCTTTACAATACAAGAAAGCAAAAGAAATAAATTAATTTTCTAGGACTATAAAGAAACAAAATGAGGAAAGAAGCTGAAATACTGAGTACTCTGCTCTTACAGCTTCTCATGATAAATTTAGAGTCAAGATTCTGTGCTGGACCTACTAGAGAATGGACTTGAGGATATGGGGAGGGGGAACGGTAAGCTGTGACAAAGTGAGAGAGTGGCATGGACATATATACACTACCAAACGTAAAACAGATAGCTAGTGGGAAGCAGCCGCATAGCACAGGGAGATCATCTCAGTGCTTTGTGACAACCTAGAGGGGTGGGATAGGGAGGGTGGGAGGGAGGGAGGGAGACGTAAGAGGGAAGAGATATGGGAACATATGTATATGTATAACTGATTCACTTTGTTATAAAGCAGAAACTAACACACCATTGTAAAGCAATTATACTCCAATAAAGATGTTAAAATAATAATAATTCAAAATTGATAATACACTTAAGTGTAGAAGATAAAACATTAAGGCCTCTAGAAGAAACTAAAGGGAAATATATTTATGATACTTCTATAGGCAAAGATTTTTAAAATTGGACACAGAAAGCACTAATCATGAAAGAAAAAATATTGATGTCACTCAAATTTAAGAAATTCTGTTCATTAAGAGATATCATTAAGAGAGTCAAAAACCAAGCCACTGGGAGAAGATAATGTGTACATCTGACAAAGAATACATATCCAGAGTATATATCCACAAATTAATAAAGATGGACAATCCAATAAATATACGGGCAAGAGACTACAAGAGGCATTTAGCAAATCTAAATGGCCAATAACATACAAAAAGGTACTGCAATAAAATACCACTGTACTCCCAAATATCCTTTTGCCACCGGTTTCATAAAAAAAGGATCCAAACAGGGACTTCCCTGGTGGCAGAGTGGTTAAGAATCCATCTGCCAATGTGGGGGACGCAGGATCGATCCCTGGTCCAGGAAGATCCCACATGCCGCAGAGCAACTAAGCCCATGTGCCACAACTACTGAGCCTGTGCTCTAGAGCCCGCGTGCCACAACTACTGAAGCCCGTGTGCCTAGAACCCATGCTCTGCAACAAGAGAAGCCACTGCAATGAGAAGCCCGCACACCGTGATGAAGAGTAGCCCCCGTTCGCCGCAACTAGACAGCCCGCGCGCAGCAACGAAGACCCAATGCAGCCATAAATAAATTTTAAAAAAAGGATCCAAAAAAAAAAAAGAAAGAAATCTACAGTAAAGAATATATCAGTATACCATATTTTAGTTAAAGAGAAACATTTCAGAATAATTTGGAAAAAATAAGTGTTTTCAACTTCATGTCATATATAAATGTAAGCAAAATAGATAATATTGATTGATAAAGAAATACATACATACAAAAAAAAGATTTTGTGCTGGTATTGAAATCTTGAAAATTGATGAATAACAATACATTTTTCTCTTTCATAATAGCTACCTTTTAGAAAGTGAGCTACAGCTCACAGCTACTGATTTCTTGACATACTTAGGGGGAAAAAAGTCAATACAAAAATATTTTGTTCCCTTGGATTCAGATATAAATTGTAGTCCTGGCACTGATCAGAAAGAAAATTCTTAAAGAGTTTTTGATTGGTTTTACAGAATCAAATTCAACCTCCTGGAAGGAAAGCATTGATTACTATAAAACAGACTGCTTAAGATGAAAGAAACAGACTGTGAAGGAAATGAAAACAAAGGAACTTGGCGGGGGGCAAGGGGGCTGATTATTGGACTGGCCAGGGCTCTTTGATGTCAAACATAAATAACTCATCGCCATTCTCCATCACATGCAAGACTCTGAGATTTGGGGGCCACCAAAAACGGTATGAGTACCAGAGAAAATGGATGTGGTCCCACCAGTGTCAAGATGTAGCCAGCCAATGGTGAGCTTCTCATACTCACCGATAAAGTCAGACTGAGGTAGACCTGCTCAGTCCCAGAGCCTGAGCGCCCCAGTTTGTAGAGTTTCTCAGCCACGACCTCCTGTCTCAGGACCCCATCAAATTCTCCCTGCAAAAAAACCAGAGAGGCAGACAAAGAAAGGATTTCCATTAGAAAAGTAATCCACCTCATCATATCCAGCACTTACTTACTATATTACATATCTGGGAGCTGAGCCTTCCAAAATTTACCAAAGAAAACTGTGTTGTTGGGACTTCCCTGGTGGCACAGTGGTTAAGAATCCACCTGCCAATGCAGGGGACAAGAGTTCGATCCCTGGTCCGGGAAGATCCCACATGCCGCAGAGCAACTAAGCCCATGCGCCACAACTACTGAGCCTGTGCTCTAAAGCCTGCGAGCCACAACTACTGAGCCCACGTGCCACAACTACTGAAGTCCATGCACCTAGAGCCCATGCTCCACAACAAGAGAAGCCATTGCAATGAGAAGCCCGTGCACTGCAACCAAGAGTAGCCCGCTCTCGCCGCAACTAGAGAAAGCCTGTGCACAGCAACGAAGACCCAACGCAGCCATAAATAAATAAAGGACATGGTAATTTTAAAAAAAACTGTGTTGAAGACCCATACATATTACATATGATTAAGAAAATATCGGTCAAATCAATGTATTGCTGCTGAACTTTCAGGTGGTTGCTTGTATTAGGTATTCAAAGCAGAATTAACACAGTAGCAGTAGAAGCATCAATATTAGTGATGACAGCTACGTTGATTTAGTGCTTCTGTTCTGGGCACTGTGCTAAGAGCTCTCAGTGGGTCCACTCATTTAATCCTCCTGACAATCCTGAGGGAGGTACGCTTAGCTCCATTTTACAAATGAAGAAACTAAGGCTCACAGAAGTTAACTTGCCTGAAACCACATAGCTAGTATGTGACAGAGCCAGAATACAAATCCAAATCTGTCTGACTCCAGGGCAGTTCTAACCACTACACTTGACTGCTTGTCCACAACCCAAAGGATGCTTACATCAAATTAAGGCAATTACTTCTCTACATCTGGTATTCTTGCTGGAGAAAACAGGTCCTCAGTTCACTTTGTACTGGCTAATTTTGCTGGATTCATACAATTTACAAGATTAATTAAAAGGGTAATATCATTTGTAGAAGGAGCTTGGCCCTTAGTGTATAGATACCCTGGACCAGTGGTGGCCCAACACACCCCTCCCCCAATTATGACAGATAGAACAGATAATAGATGGACTAGTGCTGTGTTTGTGCTGCCTTCAGCTCCATTATGACCAACACACTAACATCAGCACGAGGACACAAAATACAAGTAACCACGTCAGTCACGCCAATATTACTAACCAACTGGTATAGGGACTGTGATGGCAAAACACTCTCTCAGGTCTTCTATATTCATTCAAGGACCAATGATGCTGCTCAGGCTTCTAGTACTAAGGACATAAGTATGCAGGCTTGTGCTACTGTAAAGAGCTTTCTTTCCTCCCCCATTTCCACTAACCCAGAGAAGCAAATATCACTCAAACGGAGATACTGCACAGCTGGTTTGAACCCCAGATCTGCCATTTTGGATATATGACTTTGGGAGACAAAGTTTTCTCTGAGACTCATAATTTTTCATCTATAAATTTTTCATCTATATATTATTACTTTTTCTTAATGTTTTGGAGAGAATGAAAAATAACTGTGAACATAAAGCTCTTAGCGTGGTGCCTAGAACACAGCAAGTGTCCCCAGTAAATGGCAGCTGATAGCACAAACTGGTGAATTCAGAAATTCCACATCTTATTCATCCATACCAATCAACCTGTTCACAAAATGGGGGAAAGAGATCTACTTTTCTAAACAAAGTTGCAATTTTTTATAGTAGGCCTGGGAAGGAGTAGAGGTGAGAGAGTGTTACCTTCCCTCCCAAAAGTTTCCATGTGGCCCACCCCCTCCATTTCCTGGGAACAAGAAACTACAGAATCCCTTATTTACAGTAGGTGGACATCTGTTTTTCAACACAGCCATTGATACAGAGACTGGACACACTGTCAGCACTGTCCCAAAGCCCCAGGGCAAGACTCCTCACGGCCACCCCCTCACACATCCTTTGAGGTTCCTGCCATTTGCCAGTGTCATGTCTCTCCCTTCTGGTCTTTGGTCATCTTCAGACCTTGACCAGCCCTATCTGTATCTTGGGTGGTTTCAGAATCCCTAAGGAGGGCCACTCAACACCCCGACCATTCCAAGTACATGCACACATACATGTTCCTTTATTTTCTCAACTCCAGACACCTTAAAATTGATCTCTAGCCAACTTCAGCCACTCACTCCCCTGGGCATGCCCTGGACTTAGTCATCATGCTAAACTGCTCCACCCTAGAAACCTCAGACCTCAAGTCTTCCATTGTTCTTGGCTCCCACAGCTGCCCATCCTTCAACCTTTCCAACACCTAGTGAACTTGGTCTCTGACCACAACAAAATCTCCGGTCTGTTCAGCCTTCCCTTTACCTCAGAGTCTATCTGTCCCCTCCTAACTATACTTCCTTCTCTACTGGGTCTCCCATGGGCAATTTCAATGTCTCTCTACCCTCAAGTCTCTGACTCCTTGGCCCCTGACTGCAACTGCCCCATGCGTACCCAAACCTGAATCAACTTCACGCTCAACTACTGCCTTGGGGCAGGGATTATGTCATGTTCATCATCCATTTGGGATAAAAATCTTTCCAGCATATGAAGCACAGGTCATCCAAGTACACAAACTATTTCAGGAGTTTGATAAACTACAATAGAGGTAGGCAGGGTGCTTTCACTAGGAGCAGGGCACCCATTTTATGGCCGTTTTAGTGGGGAGTAGGGGGTTAGCAAAGACTTCCTCGGTGAGAGAACCACTGAAACCCAAAATTGTGAGTTATTCTGGCAAAGGGGAAGAAAGGGCAGAAGAGGGCCAAGAGAGTATTGCAGGTACAAGGGGCAACATGTACAAGATCCCAAAGGCAACGGCGAGTATAGCCCGTTGGGGAAACTACAGAGTTCAAATAGCGAAAGTGTAAGGTGGGGAGGAGGGATACAGTACCTAATACATGTTTGGTGCTAAAACACCGGCTGAATGAATAACAAGACTACTTCTCCCCCCGAGGGGCTGAGTGGGCGGGAAAGGCCCACTCTGGTGCCACGTTCAAGTCAGCTTCTAGCTGGGCCTCGGCGCTATGGTGCTATTAGGGTCCCCTTCTTCCTCAGCTGCCTTTCATGTCCCACCTTGCTGGTGAGATCTCCAGCCCCCTCCTCAAGCTGTCAGGTGCCTCCACTCCTTTGTCCTCACTCTCAGCAGGGGACCCTCTCAGTCCTTCTCTTCCACGTCGGAGGCAAGGTAGGAATGATCAGACATCAGCCACTCCACATCGTGCACCTGTCCTGATGCTTCCTGCTGGGGTCTCAGAGGAGGTCAGCTCCTTTTCCACACTCAGGGTCCAGCACCCTCTGTTTCCCCAGAGACCGTGTTCAGGGATCATCAATGTTGCCCTCTTTTGCCTGTGGTTTCAACTGGTCACTCTCCACTGTCATTCTCCAAGCCGTCACTTCTCCAGCTCTACGAGCATGTGAGTCCCTTCTGTCCTACAAGGGCTCTCTTCAGTCCTGCATGTTCCTTTAGCTACAGCTATAGTTTCCCTTAATAGCCAAGCTAGTTTCCCCCTTGTTCACCTCCCATTCACGCCTCAACTTGCTTCACTTAGGTTGCTGCCTTCACATCACAAAATCCACATGGGCCAAGGTCTACAGTGACTGTCAAATAGGCAAAGCTAATGAACCCTTTTTTTTTTTAAGAAATATTTATTTGAGGCTTAATAATTTGTTGGGTTTATTTTATTTTTTAAAGATTTTTTTTTTCCTGATGTGGACCATTTTAAAAGTCTTTACTGAATTTGTTACAATATTGCTTCTGTTTTGGTTTTTTGGCTGCAAGGCATGTGGGTCTTAGCTCCCCAACCAGGGATGGAACCCGCACCCCCTGAATTGGAAGGCGAAGTCTTAACCACTGGATGGCCAGGGAGGTCCCTAATGAGCCCTTTTTGGGCCTCTTCCCACTTAACCTCTTGGAGGCATAACCCACACCAATGTTCTCAACACCCTTTCTTGCCCTGGCTTCCCTCCTGTTCAGCTCTCTTCCTTCTCCTTTTTCTCTTATCAGTCTTTTCCAGTTTCTTCCCCTGAATCCTCTTCATCTGCCTGCCTCTGAAATACCTGTACCCCCAGGGTTTTTTTCTTGGCCCTCTCCTTCTCTTCTTTCTTCTCTTCCTGGATGATCTCACAGACTCCAATGCTGATGATTTCCAGGCCTCTGACCCTGAGCCCTCCTCTCCTGATTTCCAGAGGCCTATGATTCACATACCCAACTCTTGAATGCACAGCTCCACCTGTCCCTGTTTCCCATGGTGGTCAGTGGCCCTAATATTCCCCCCGGAACACGCCACAGACCCAGCAGTCACCCTAGACTTCCGATATTCAATTAGTAAGTGTTTCATCTTAAATATTTTAAATACTATTTCTCTCTAGCTTCCTTTCCATTCCCATTGCCTTAATCCAGACTCGCGTCTCTTCCCCAGAGATATTGCTCCTCTTTGCACTGATCTCCCTGCCTCCAGGCTCACCATCTTCTTATCTAACCTCCCTTGGCCACAAGAGCCGTTCCCTGCTGCTTAGAGTCAAGTCCACAGTCCCTACAACAGCACAGAGCTCTCCACAACCTGGCCCCCACCTCATCTGTCTTTCTGCTCTCACCTATAACCCACCACTTGGAAAAGCTGCCGTCTGCCTGCCCACACACCACCTCTGCACCCAAGTAAGGGCTGACTTCCTTTCCAGTCTTCCGCCATGCCTGTAACCCGGCTATCATCTGTACACATCTCTTCATAGGATGAACACTCACTCTTATCTCACCTTGAGAGCTGGGACCATGTATGTCCTCCGTCACACTCTCATCTTTTTCTACCATTACTGTAGCTATTATGTATTACATCTCTAATTTTCTGAGAGCCTGCACTGTATCGGACACTATGTTAAGAACTTTAACATAGACTTTCCCATTAAATTTGATGTTCATAACTATCCAATGAGCAGGCATTATCATCCACATAAAGTTACTGGAGTGGTTTTCGTGCAGCAGAAACATATCACAGGCCCAGACATTTCTTCTGCCCTGTAGAGTCAGAGTACTTCCAATATAGCAATCACTTGTGAATGCTCCTTCAATGAAGGCTAAATTAATGAAGTCACCTGATGGGCTGTAGTTAGTAGATAAGAACAGGTAAGTTACTACTCGGATTAGTAACAGTGTAAATAATATATTGTGCTAAGTAGTTTACACATAGGATCTCATTAAATTTTCACAGCTCTCCATGAGATAGATAGTATTATAATTCCTGTAGCGCAGATGCGACACAGAGAGTATGAGTAACTTGCTCAAAATCTCACAACAAACAAAAGGCTTTATACAGATCTTTGAATTCCAAAGGCAATATTCTGAACAGCTGGTCTGCCCTAACTCCCTCAAGTTCATTGAGGCTAATTACGTTATAGGCACTTAATAATCATTTTGACCATCAGAGCATTATAAATCTTAATCGGGCTAGGATATGGAAAATAAATCACTGAACATAAAAGTCCAAATGTTTCCTCTGAAAACTTTTTGGTTTATTCAGCATATCAAAACATATGAGACACTATAAAAAGGTAAAAGAGAATGTGAGAACACAAAACAAATATTAATTTTAGAATATAAATAGAAGAAATAATAAACTTTTTCCACACAAAAGCCTACAAGCCAAAAATGATTAACTAGTTCAAGTCAACCCCCTCCCTCTATGGTTTGTTAATGGCATATTGAAGACAGATTAACAATGGTACTAATGAACCCCACAGCTGAAGAACATGCATTAATTAGAATAACCTGGTGATTCATTTGTTAATTCCTCTGGGGTGGAAGCCATACAAACACCTGAAAGTTGTAAAAACATCTCTACAGTTTTCCAGTAGTCACTGTTAAGCATGGCAAAGTAAATCAACAAAAGATGAACAAAATAAGTAGTAATTTTCTGTGGTCCACTTTAAGCAAAACTGATGTGTAACTAGGCCTGAATTCTCTGTATTATATCTACTTCTGAAAAGAATTTGAAGCAATTTATACTGTGAAGAAGGAGGAAAGGGAAGAGAAAAACCTAATCTAAAGAAAAACTACTGAAATTAAGAAAAATACTGAATTAAGAAAAAAAGTTATGTTTCTTGGCAGGCAAGACAAAGAGGAAAACCTAACAGTTTATCAAAAGAAAGCAAATCCAAAGAGTGGATATATGTATATGTATAACTGATTCACTTTGCTGCACACCTGAAACTAACACAACATTGTAAATCAACTATACTCCAATTAAAATTTTTTAAAAAAAGAAAGCAAATAATGTATTAGAAAGCCAAGAGAAAGAAGTGACATGATGTGAAGTGGAAAGGGATAAGAAGGCAGGCAACGGGCTAAGGAAGGAACAGGATGCTAATAAGTGTAAGTGGAATTGGGTCATGTTTAGAAGAGGTATTGTAGAAAAGAGGGAATCTGTATTAGTGTGAAAGGCCAAGCTGCCAACGAGGCATTACAGGTGGGAATGTTGGGAACATTCCCCACATCCTGAAATACTCTCACAGTGAGCAGTGTGTGTTGTTTGTATAATGCATCATATACCCCTGGCAGAAGTAATATATAAAAACTTTCAAGTCACTTGGTCTTTGAGGAAGCACTTAGATTATTTCAAAAGGGTAATTTTCTTTTTTTTCCTAGAGGAAGGAGGATGAAGGGACTCCTTCATCGGGGAGAGTGTTGGGAGTATTTCAGTCATGAGGAAAAGGTGCAGGGGGTTCAGAAGTAGAAGTCTGTCTATTCACAACACCGTCAAGCCATAACTCCCATACAAATAGAACTTTTTCCTCAAAGATGCTGTGTAACTTGACTCTTAAGAAATCAAACGAAAAATAAAGGATATACTTGAAGATATTTCAGGCAAAGGGTGAGGAAATCGGGTAACAGAAATGGGAAGGAGAGAGAGGGAGTCTCAGAGCAGTAAGGAAGAGGCGTTCCTGGAGGCAAGGAGCCCTAGGAATGGGCTCAGCCGCAGGCTGGTGAGGGGTCCGACCGCTGGAGAAGGAAGTGAGGGGGTAAGGGGTGGGGGGAAGGCACACCTCAAACTTCAGCATTTCGGACTCTGAAGACTCCTCGAACTCCACTTTGCCCTCGCCCTCGCCCTCTTCCTGGTCATCGTAATCTCTGTCCACGTCCGACTCTTGATAGCAGTGAATGAGCTGCTGCAGTAGGTCGGAGGAGGTTTTGCGGAAAGTATTTTTAGGTCTCTGCCCCATGGGAAAAGGAGACCAGAGAAACTGACGTTCCTTTTCTGAGTGCAGCAGTTTCGACTGGGCTCCAGTTCGTGAACTGCTCACGGCTCCCTGGAGACAGGAAGGCTTCGGCAACTGGGGATCTCTCCCGAAGGTCGCCATCTTATTTACCGGGATTGCCTAGGAGACTGACGCCA